ATGTCAAAATAATATAACGGGACCCTACATGAGGTGTCTAAAATGAACATCGCTTAATTGAGATGTCTAAGTGAAACTTATTGTCAACTTTAGGAGGACACCAATGACTTTGGCCTTTCCATTTTTAGGAGGGCACCGATGACTTTGGCCTTTCCATTTTGAAGTAAGTTGATTCACCATTTGTACTACAAGTTGACAAATTTGACCTTATTATTGAAACATGTGTCAAATAGAAGGGTTGAATTGAATTTAGGCACGTTAAAATAGACTGAGTTAATGAATGACGGATTATTGACTCACTCAAGAATTACTAATTAACTGAAATAGTCCAAAATGTTGGATATATATATTTGAGTTTCAGTTCAAAGTTAATTTATGTATATGTGTATCTGTGTATGAGATTGGGAGAGAGAAGAGAGATGAGCGAGATTCAGATTTCGAAGAGGGAGAAGATTGTGAATATGTGCATCTTAATGAATATCTCAATTTTTCATTGAGATACATGTTGTATTTGAGATATAGACTACTTATCTCTCTCGATCTCGCACATATCTTTCCTCTCTAAAACTGTTATTATGAATTATAATTGGGCAAAATATTATAGCCATCATTTATAATTATGATCCAAACTATAATTATTTATCAAAATCCCTCTTTTAATAAATGGACCATTACCCTTTGTCATAATGAGCATAAACACACATTAAAAATAACAAAGACTAAGAACCCAAAAACAAAAAGTAAAAATAACAAAAGTTTCAATAGAGAAATATTATTCAAATGATAACAATAATAACAGGGACATTTAGGTTCGCCTCAACTATTAATTCTCCTTAACGTTACAAATATTGGTGGCGCACTTAGCTCTACAAATTCGCCATTCGTCTGGTTCTGCAACAATAACATTCTCAATTAGTAATTTGTCTAAATAAATCTTTCCATACAAATGCAAATTAGTCAGTCCAAAAAATAAAAAAAATTAAAACGTTATATTTAAAAGGACTAGATACTAACGTATATAAAATTTTGAGCAATGACGAAGTGAGCATCCAATATTGCAATAATCAGAATTAGAAATAATATCATGTGGACAATTCCATCCACAACGATCATAACATTGATAATCTTGAGGAGCACAACCCTTAACACAATTCATAAAACAATCATCATTTGTATTAACACAATTTATTGTTTTCAAAGAAGAAAACATTAAAATCATTATAAATGATATTATCATGGAATAAAAAATATCATTTCCCTTCCTAATTCCCATTATCTTAAAACAAAGAAAAATATTCCTCTCTTATGCTATAAGTGCTAGTATTGTAAAAAGAAAGATTGTTGTTAAGTAAATTTATGACCAATGAACAATTATTTATATATGTTTAAGTAATTAATTACTTGCCTTGTATAGATATAAGAATAGATTATAAGCAATTAATTTTTTGTTGACTAAGGAAAAATATAATTAGTTAGCCAATTTGGTCAATAATTATTAGTAAATAAATTGATTCTTGCAGGGTAAACTCGATTTATCAAAGGCTATAAATCTGGTCTAATGTATTACTTTGACCATGATTTTGAGGATATTTGTCATTGTTTTAAATAGGATTCTTTATGAAATTTTAAATATTCAATTTTCATTCTTTAATTTGAATTAATTGACATGAATTAAGTTAAATTTGAAAGTATTCAGACAATGAATCAACGAGTGGACTATATAAATTTAGAATGTTTATAATTTTTTAAATTATTAAAGCAAAAAAACGAAAAAGAGGAGGAAATAACATTTGGCATTTAAATAGCATTTGATTGTGGTAGACAAGAATAGATGCATAATTTTTATTTTTCATTCTTATTAAAAAGTAACAAAATTATTTAATGTTGCTATGGACATAGGACTTTTAATATCCGGTCCTAAGTTCAATCACACTTCATATAAATATAAATAAGAAAAATCTCTTAAAGATGGAAATATATATATTCCTATGGATCTTTATCATAAATAGTGCACTATAAGTATTGAAGGTATTTGATCAAAATCTTTAGACTTACTATTGGTAGATGGTAATCTTAGAGATTTGATTTATATAAAGATAAGAAATTATTATATTACCAAAAAAGAATATATAGTTTTTCCTTTTTTTTTATAAGTTGCTAAAAATAATATAAAAATCACATGCAAAATAAATAGGAACAACTTCAAAATAAAAAAATTAAAATTAAAAGGAAAAACTAAAAAATATGTTTTATAGTGAGATTTTAAAATAAATAGCAAATTATTGCCCTTATGATATTTTTTTAGCAAATTATTCATTCCGATTTTTTAGGTAAGATTTTATTAATTCAAGTTTGAAACATATCATTTTATATTTTGCTAAAAAAATATAAAAAAGGCAATAATTTGCTATTTATTTTGCATGTGATTTTTATATTTTTTTTAGCAATCACAAAAATAAAAATAGGAACAACTTCAAAATAAAAATGTGATTTAGCAATATAATAATCACATGCAAAATAAATAGGAACAACTTCAAAATAAAAAACAAAATTAAAAGGAAAAACTAACTAAAAAACAAAAAATTAAAACATAAACTAAATACAAAAAAAAAAAAGGAAAGAGACGCAGGGGCCTTGCGCCTTGTAAGGTTGTGCAGCCGTGCCCCTTATAAGGCGCATAGAACTTTGCGCCTTGCTCCTTTTTACCTAATTTACACGGCGTTTGTTAGACCGTCTAAATGTTGCCCTTTTGAAATTTTTAGCTAATTTTCTTGCCCTTTTGGCTCCGAACTCAACAATATCGTATATATCTCATCCACAATTTCCTCTTTGACTATATGTCATCCTATTATGCTACGTACACAAAAAGAAAACCTCCGGTGCCACCATTTGATCGTCGTCACAACTCCACCTCCAAACTACCGCCACCGCACCTCCACAACTCCACCACCTCACTGTTTCAACCACACATCTTAAAAATAGATTATAATTTATATATACAAGATATTCTAATTATTCACTTTATATACATATGATATAAATTGTATACGTACTGCATAATGCATTATACACTATGTATAGTGCATAAATATAGTGTATATAAATTATACGAACACTAATGTGTATGCATTATAATATAATTATCATTCATATTATATACATTATTTCTAATACCCGTCGTAGTCATGTAATCCTTCACACTAATTAATCTGTATAACAAATGTATAACCAGCATATATAGTCAGGTTCTAATGTATACACATAAATTCTACACATATCATACAATTAGTATACGTTAATTACATACATTTTTCGTGATTTTTCACGTAGCCTATTGTTACCAACTCCATGAATGGACATTATTAAAATCATCAGATTTGGTGAATTGAAACTTCCCTCGACATTAGTATTAGGTACTGTGTATATGAAGAATATAATAAATGTATATATTGAGTACTGTGTATTTGAAGTGTATAAGCAATGTTATACATAAAATATTTTTAAAATGTATATATAGTGTATAACATATATTTTAGCTACAATATGTCTTTTGATTTAATATGGCCATCTGACTGTAAATATTTTACTAACACTCTGTTTGAATCATTGTTAACCATTGTATTGCATTGTATTGTATTGTATTGTTACTATACCTACAATGTTTATTTTGATTGTTACTTAAAATGCATTGTATTGTATTGTTAAATTTCGTTGTTACGTAACAATGAAAACCCCTATTTTATGAAACAATCAATTTGGTGTGTTCCCATTGCTACTTAATTTCTTTTTCTAATTATATCTTTACATAACATTTCAAAATACTATTTTACCCTTTACCTTATATTATTTAATTCTAGTCTAACCTCCTACCCTAGAATAATTAAGGATATTTTAGTACATTTATAAATTACAATACAGTACGATACAATCAAACCAAACAACTAAAATGTTATTAAACAACAACAAACAATACAGTCTATCCAAACATTGTATCTACCATACATTACAGTACAATACAATACAATACATTATGAAACAATGGATAACAATGATCCAAACAGAGTGTAAGATGTTTACTTATGTACTTGCCTAGTTGGCCTTATTAGTTTTAATAAAGGGAAAAAAAGACAAATATACCCCCGAACTATCGTAAATGGTATGTATCTTCCATCATACTTTTGGGACATTGGTGCCCCTACCGTCAAAAAACTAGAGCATATATGCTCTTCACTCTAACAGAAGACTATATATGGACACGTGACACAATCTTGTCCGTCGATCTGATATTTAATAAATGTCGGGTCAGTGGATAGGATTGCGACACATGTATGTCCGTTATTATAAAGGGTATATATGCTCTAGTTTTTGGACGACAAGGGCACCAATGTCCCAAAAATATAACAGAGGGTATCTGCATACCATTTACGATTTGTCTTTTTTTCCTTTAATAAAAAAACATTATGATCCAGTCCAATTAATTCATTTGACCCCGTAAATAGCGTCATTTCTAAATCATAAACTTTGAGGTTCAATTTCTATGGAATATATGAGTGTATATATAACCTTTGTGTTAATATATATACGCAGTCTCCATACTAATGGGTGTAAGAAGAAATCGATCTTTTAAAATTTGATACGTGAAACAATAAAGATTTTTTTTGTGTAAAAAATAAGTATCATTCGTAAAAATAACATAAAAGTAGAAGCAAATTCGTAAAGGATTAGGAAATCAAATCTTGTGTGTATATTGTTGCAACCTAAAAAAGAAGAAGAGATAATAATACACGCAACATTTTAATAGCTGAGTTGATTACGTATCTAAACTCTTGTCTTGTTGGTGAGAGATTCAGAGTCCCCGTATCTGTTTTTTTTTTAAAAAAGTAAAAGCAAAAGAGGCTACACGCAACTAAGCTATTGTATAATGTGCTTCATTGCTTGTACATCGAATTTGTCCTAAACCCGGGTCCAAATTGCTAAGGCCATAAAGGCAACACAAAATTCTCTGCTTCACTCTATAAACCAAAACGGATTACCCCTCTTACGCCATTGTTGAGCACGATCCCCGAGCTTGAAGCACAGTATTAAACGGTAAGTTTCTTCTGCAGTTACTCTGATTATCCAAAATTTACGAATTTCTTAGCCTTTTTGGTGTAATTTTAGGTGTAAATTCAACAAATACGCCAGACATGAATGCCCTAGTGAATGAATTCATAATCAAGCTGAAGAAACGGTAATTCCCGCTCTTTATCTCTATGTGTGTGTGATAATCTACGGAGCGATGATTTTTTTTGTTTGCTGTATGTATTGAATGTTGCGGGTAGGAAAATTGAGGGGTCGAAGACAACAGCGAAATTGACAGCGGAAGTGTTACGCTCATGCATATCGCAGCAGAGACTTCCTCAAACTAACCAGGCTGCTGCTCTTATTGATGCAATCAGAGGTATTGGGGAAAAGTTGATTGCTGCTAATCCAGTAGGTATAAGCTTCTGTTTCTTCTTTTATCCTTTCCGTTTCACTTCTGTAACTATTAATGTTTCTTGTGGTTCGATTGTCTTTTGTTGTAGTTACTATTCCTTTTTTGTATGCTCTGTCTTGCTTTCTTTAGTATTCTGTCTTGTCTTCTTCACTCGTGCTGTTCTCTTTTTTCAAACTGCTGTATACTGCTTTTACTTGAGCCGGGGGTCTATCGGAAACAACCTTGGGGTAGTCCACTTGTGGGATTACATTGGGTATGTTGTTGTTGTTGTTGTTCACAATGTCTGTTGAAGAAAAAAAAATACATAAAAGTGTCATCTTTCTAACAAATTAATGTTTTACTTGAGGCAGTACACACAATTAATGTTGAGCGTGTGCTGTGGTTTTTAGTTTATATCTCTGTATGACCTATAAGTCATAGATTCAAGTCCTGGAATTAGCCATTGATGCTTGTATCAGGGTAGGTTACCTACACTACATTCCCTAGGGGCGCAGCCCACCTAGGACCCTGCGTGAATGTTGGGATGCTTCGTGCACCAGGTCCTTTTTGTTATATCTACATTTAAGCCTCAACCTAGCTTTCTGAGATCAACTATATGAATCATTAACAGCCATTTTGCTTTATTTGGTTCCACATTTTAATAATTTTCTTTTTTGTGGGGGATAAGTTGAAAATGTATTAATAACTGGAAAAAAAATAATCAGACATAATCGTTTTTTTATAACCGTGGTGTCCGCGCCAACTTGGGCAACTTGGGCACACCTCAACTAATTCCATGGGTAACCAACTTTGTCCACCAAGGTTGGGATAGATGGGAAGAAATCACCTAGTATTTTTTGCCTTGCTGGAATTTGAACCGGAGACCTTATGGTTCTTAACCCACTTCATTGGCCACTAGGCCACACCCTTGGGTGCTAATTGGAGATAATCTAAACAATAAGAATATGGTATATAGTAAGAAGACCAGGTACTGGTTAACTGTTGAAACTAGTAGCATGTTCTATCTCTCCTTGTCTCTCATCTCCTTCATTCTTGGCTAGTTTGTTGTAGGTTTTGTTCTATAGTATTTCCAGTTGACTTAGAGTTTCGTTTTTTTTTCTTTTTTAAATGGTACTCTTAACAAATTTTATGTATTAATGCACAAAGGTTGTGCAAAATAAATATTTATAGAGAAGGAAACTGACAAAATGCTATCCTATCAACTTACAAAGATTGTAAAATCTCTAGGATCAGTATTTAATGGAAATTCTACTTTACACCAAAAATGAAATAACACAAGGGGGTTTATCTTAATCTTCCGAATTAACCTACCCATGTCTTCAAAGCATCTCAGGTTCCTTTCCCTCCCATCAGTCCACCAAATGCAGGCTGGTATCATCTTCTATTTGCTTTTTCTGCCTAGGCAAACCTCCTCCCCTTTTCCAGCATTTCAGTAAGTCCAAAGAACTTTTTGGCGTTACCCATGTGAGACCTCTCATGCACTGAAAAAAATTCCAGATTTTGAAGTCACCTCAAAATGCAAATATAGATGACCATTAGTCTCAGGTTTCTTGCCACAAAGATGGCATCTAGAGCATAGCTGAATGCCTCTCTTCATTATATCTTCTTCTGTTTAGCAAGCCTCCTTGACCACCAAACAAACAAAGCAAGCTACTGTAGAATTTAGCTACCTCTCAATGCTGCATCAAGTTCCTCCTGAACCTCTGATCCCAGAGAGTTACCCTTCTTGTGAACCATGGATATATTGTGCTGTCATCTCTGGCTTATTTTAGATGCTAGGGAAGTTGATCCTCTGCTCATTTTATCTAAATCACCCGTGGCTCAAGAAGCTTATCTTGTTGTTGTCCTCATCTTCTAACCTACTGTTGCCACTTGTTTTTTTTTCTACTTTGTGATATTTTTCATAGACCAAAACCAAATGGTAGTGTGGTGTTCCTACTTCTCCATCCCCTAGTTGCAGTTCCATACTTGTCCACTATTACTTTCCCACATATAACCTTGCTTTTTTGTCCCGAATCTCCATACCCAATTTACCCAGCAGTCTTTTCAAACGCTTTGAGGTTCTTCACACCAAGTCCTCCCCACTTCTTCAGGGAAATGACATTCTCCCAGCTCACAAGTTGGTGCTTCCTAGTCCCATATCTTGCATCTCATAGGATGTTCCTCTGAGCTCCATTCATGCTCGGTGCCAATGATGGCATACAATGTGGAATTTGGTGATTGAGATAGTAGAGAAGAGTCTAGTCGTATGTAAAAAGAGATGCTTGTCGAAAGGAATGAGGTATTGATTCAAATTACTCTTGTCTAGTATCCCCACTTATTTCACGCCGCTTTTTCAGGCTCCTGGTAAAGTGACAGAGAAGTTGAAGAGATATCAGCGTATTTTCTATGGGATACAACGAAAAAATTAGAAAGTTTCAGTTAGTGAATTGGAGAGTTTTCACATCTCCAAAGAAATGAGAAGGACTTGGTTAGAAAGATCTCTCGGTCTTTGAAAAGCCTTGTTAGGGAAGTTGTATGGAGATTTGGGTTGGAGGTGAATGCGCTTTGGAGGGGTGTGGTAGCAAAGAAGTATGGTATCATGAAAGGTGGGTGGAGGACTAGAAACATCTTAACGCCATTTGGGTGTGGCTTATAGAGGAGCATTATGAAGGGGTGGGAAGACTTTAGTAAACATGTTTCTTTCAGGACTGGGAATGGTAGCAGGGTTAGTTTCTAGGCACCAGATGCATGGAGATGGCTAGAGCTGGATTGCTCACCTTTATATCTTTTCATGAGCAGTTATTAAGTAGAGTTGAATAAATTTTCCCTCATTGTGCTGTATGGGTACCTAATGCCCTGAGGAAGGTATTTTTCTATCGATCAAGGCTTTCTTGAGTTTGAAATAAGGGGAAACACGCAAGGGTGTATCAGCTGTGCGAAAGCTTTTACGTGGTTGTCAACGAGGGGTATGATATTGACAACAGACAATCTGAGAAAGAAGATCACTTATGTTAGCCGGTGTTTCATGTGCAGAAGTTCAGGTGAAGATGTAGATCATCTCCTACTGCATTGTCAAATGGACAATGGCTAATCCACTGTGGATGGTGGTTCTTAATTGGTTTGGGGCGCAATGGGTGTTGCCGAGCACAATGAAGGAGGCACGCATTGCTGGGGCATCAAGAGGGGGAAGGGAAGTCCTAGGGCATGGAGGTGTTGCATCATTAGCAATTATGTGGATTATTTGGAAAGAGAAATAAGAGAGCATTTGAAGGGGTTGAACAAGATTCTGTAAAGATGCAAAATATTTGTTTCTAGTTTCATTTTGGTGTTACCCTTAGACCTTGTATAGAAGATAGGGATCTTCTTTAGAAAGTCATATTTTGACGGTTTTTTTGACATACGGTATTGTTCCCTAATTGTTAATAAAATTCTTTACCTTATCAAAAAAACCTTTGCATGGTTTTGGTTGTGTTATGAAGTCTGAATTATATTGCGAAAACCATATCACAACTTCCTCTTACCAGTTATTTGGTGTTAGTTGATCAAATGAATTGGAGTTCTATGCTAATTATTAGCTGAAGTAAAAGAAGTTGGAAACTTACATGTGGATGTAATTCTGATGGAAGATAATATTTAATAGGTTACTGTGTTTGCATATGTTTTATTCTTAAGCTGTATGAATAATTGGTAACGAGACAATGGGCCTTTTCCGCTTAAATATGTTAGGAAAAACTCTCTTTCCCTCTTTTCACATTGCCATTTTCCTTATGTACGTATGGAAGTGTATTTTCAATTGTCGTAATTCAAAAAGAAAAAATAAAGTGTAGGGAAGAGAAAAAAATTCATTAATGAACATGTCAATTATCAAGTGCAAGCTTCTTCTCTTATCAATTACTACCTCTCCTGACTCCTATCATCTTTTATGATCAAAACTGTAGGGAAGAGAAAAAAATTCATTAATGAACTTTGAAGTTTCTGGAAAAGTCACTTTCAGTTCTGCTTTTAGAGCACTAAGATTTAATTCAATAAGCATATAACTCTCACTTACCTATCCAAAGGAAAATGCTCTCTTTAGTTTATGTGTTAGTCAAGATAGGATATGTAAATGAGAATAGATCAACGGTCCAATTTGAAGACGACATAGATTGCATCCAGATGCTCAAATTCAATTTAACAAATGAGTACCCTTTTGGTTGGACTGAACATGTGGTGCAGATGGAGTTGATGACCTCTCAGAATGACTCAGTACAAAGATCAAACCAAAATCCTATGTTTTCCCTATAGTAGCTTAACCAAGATTGAAAGAATACATTTTTTTTTGCATTTTGCTAGTATCGTTCCAGTTAATTCTTCTACAGATACTGAGGTTTAACTATTTCTTCTGAGACTCTGTTGGTCTTCTTTGCTTAAGGCTTAAATATAGAGCTTGTTTGGGCCATGATCTATTCTTAGTGCAGTATCCAACTAGCCATAGCTGATTACTGATAACGAGGTTGTATTTTGTTATTTTGATGTCCAAATTATTTTTCCATGTTCGAGCTTCTTTCAGCACCTAATTTTGGTTGTATGCTTACATATTCCATGTACAAAAAAATGTTTTTCTCAAGCAGTAGTTTTATCAACCTAGCACGAAGTTAAGGGTGTAAAGTAATCTCACCTGTTTCTTTAATTTATTGTTATTTTTATACAAAACAATCTGCATTCATCAACTTTTGCTCAATATTCTGTAATTAATATGTTAGAAAATGATTACAAAATTTATTATCTAAACATCTTTTGCCAATATATAAAACCCAGACCCAGGCCAACTAATATTTTCAGGTGAAGTGAGGGAGTAAACATATTTGATAAGTCAAAAATTCCAGGCGGTACTTGCTCTGGACACTAGAACTCTTACGACAGCAACTGATACCTTGACTTTAGTTATTACCAATGGTTAGAGTGTGTGTCTCCTATCCAAAGACTGAATAAAACAAGGATTTTGTTGAATGAATCTGCTAATATTTTGACTGAAGGGCTTATGATATTCTGCTAGTTTCAATTTCTTATGCTGGAGGAGTTTATTTTTTGTGTTCCTTCTTCTAGATCTCCTCTCTTTTGCTAATTTAACTTTTGATGATATTGCATGAACATAACAGAGCTTGCCGTCGGTAACATTGTTAGGCGAGTTCTTAACATTATAAGGGAGGAGGATGTATCTTTGACAGCTGCTGCTGTTGGTGGGTTGGGTATATCGGCTGGAAGTGATGATGAAGATGATGTCAAGCAAGATGATCATCAAGGTTTATCTGCCGCAGCTGTGGCTGCTGCTGCTAGAAACACCTTGAGACCACCTTCCTTGCAGACCCTCCTTGAAGACATCCCACAATCAACAGCTGTACCTCGAACATCTTCTTCTGGTGGTGATTCTGAAGGAAAAAGCAAATGTAAGCAGTCTATAGATCATGATATAAATCATTGTTTTTAGGGGATAAGTTAGATCATGACATTAAACTATTTTGAGGATCTTTAAGATGTTTTTCTAATAAGTGAGTTAGCAAATTACCATGAGGCCACCAGCTGTTGTGATTGGATTAGTGCTGTGAATGCATTTAAACACTTCATGTCACTCCAGAAATTGTAAATAGTTGTACTGGGATTACAAGAAATGAGTCTTGTCAGGTTGTGACTTGTTTCACATTTTCTTTACAGCTGCTGATAAGAATTCAACGAGCAAGAAACTAAAACATAATGTCATTGAGGCTGTTAATGAACTTATTCAAGATATTGCTACTTGCCATGAACAGATTGCTGAACAAGCAGTTGAGCATATTCATCACAAGTATCTTCTTTCTCCCTCTTTGTGATTTGGCTGTCAGTTTTTACCCCATTCATATTTCTGATATTTGGTGTCACCTACCAAGCTAATTGGGGTCGGGCTATATGGAATCAACACACAATAAAATCAGCATAAAGTGCTTTGCAGGTCACAGAACTTGAAGGCTGTCCTTCCATTCAAAGGGTATATATAATAACGCCTAGAATCTGGGAACTATAGTTTACTTAAAACTGGTTGTTATAAAGCATCAAGTAATAGGACTTATTTCTTTGTTTGAGCCTTTGAGGTCAAGTTCAAAGATAACTGCCACATTCTTGTCGGTTATCTATGGGTATTGACCTATAGGAACACAAGCAAAATCAGCAAGGCATTTCAATATATGAAGTCTTCCATCATTCAGTATTCTTGGACTTTTGCCAACATTTGGTTACAGCAAGAAACAATCACCATTAGTTGGGGCAGCACTAGTATTTTTGTGTAGTTCTCTTCCTTTCTTGTTCTTTTGATCTGTCAAATTTATTATTACTTATCCAATTGCATAGCATGGGCTTTGTTACCCAAGTGGGGGCATTAGAGTGATGGTACAAGTATAAATAAATTTCTCAAAAATTACTATCCAATTACAATGTAACATAACCTTCTACTGATTCTTTTTTAATAAATAGCCTTCTAATAGAGCTTTGCAAGAGTCTTATGTTAAGCCTGCCTCGTAGAGCTGCTATTTCATAGAGTATAAAACTATTCTGGTAAGGGATTGCCAGTGGAATTGTCAGAAATCTATTGGTGAGATCTGCTTTAATAACAATATTTTCTGTTTATCATGAAAATGACAACAATTTCAACCCAGGGTCTCCTCTGCTACCCGGGGATCGTATTAGTAGTGGTTATCTAGAAAATGATGGTCTATGGTAGCCCCTATACAGCATGCCTGCAAACTAAAAGAATAAGAAATTCAGTTTGGTTGACCTATATGTTCAGTGAAGTCAAACAGATGTGCACTCAACTAGGTAAGTTGGACTGACACATAAAGGGAGCTTATTGTCACAGTGTCAGTTCAAAATTATTTTCAAATGCATTATTTAGTTTTTCATATAAAATTCTTGCAATTTCTAGTAGCTGTTGACGGATTGAAAAGTATGGGAGGTTGACGCTTTCCTCTCTAATCCAGTTATATGTATTCCAACTCTTTCTTCACCTTTTAATTGTTGTCTGTTCCTACGTTCTTTTCAGTGAGGTAATCTTAACTTTAGGCAATTCAAGGACTGTGATGGAATTTCTATGTGCTGCAAAGGAAAAGAAGAGATCTTTCCGGGTTTTTGTGGCTGAGGGTGCCCCAAGGTTGGAGAAGTGGCTTACCTTTGATCATTAAGTGTTGTAATACTGTATGGTTACTGTAATTTCCTTCTTTTATAATTATCTGTTTCTTCTGCTAGTTTGATTGTCCCTCCTTGGTTTTATTTAAGGTATCAGGGGCATGCCCTTGCAAAAGAATTGGTTGCAAGGGGTCTGCAGACCACAGTGATCACTGATTCTGCTGTTTTTGCAATCATCTCAAGAGTGAACATGGTATGTTGGTGCTGTAACTTCTAGCATTTAATTATGAGGCCATAGTCTTTTACCTGAATTCTGATATTTCCTATGAAAAGGTGGTTGTTGGAGCTCACACTGTCATGGCCAATGGTGGGGTTATTGCGCCTGTTGGAATGAACATGGTGGCTCTAGCAGCTCAGAGGCACGCTGTTCCCTTTGTTGTTCTTGCAGGCACTCACAAGGTATTTTAGCATCACTAAGGCATTGGGTTGATCCTTCAGGAAATTAATATATTTTACTCCTACTTCTAGTTCTATTAAAAATTAAAGAACTAATTCCATAAAATAGATTATGTAAATATTGGAATTTTCTGCTGCTGACTGAAATATAGTCTTGTAGCCTAGAATCTGTTTTTGTTGCTGCAGTATTAGCACCTATGGATAAAAGAACTATTTGAGTTTAAGTAGAAGTTTACTTGGAAATAAGCATGAGAGGTTCCTTCACTGGTCAAAACATCATGGAGAACATGAAGTGCTCTAATTAGACTAAGGTATAAAGAGAGGTCTGTCTTGCTTTGATTTTGTATCCATGAAAGGTCAAGAGCATTTCTTAAAAGCTTTGAAGAGATCATTTCGGCAGCTGGAGTGACCTAATAAAAGGTTAATGTTCGCTATTCAATAGTGTTGTCTATGCAAAAGGATGTCAATAAGCAATCAGTGAATGCAATGTTGCATTTTGGTGACATCCATCCGGTTTTCTTTCCCACCTAGTATCAACACTGAAGCTGACAACTACAGAACTACCATGCCACATCTTGGCTCCTCTATCCTTACTATCTTAGAACCACAACAAACACATATAAATGCATCTAATCTTCTTGTCATGCCACTATTAGTCTCTTGCCGATAGCTCGATTAGCAGTGATGCCTAAAGAACTATTCTATATATTTCATGGTTGAAGTTGCATTGCTCTAGGGTATTGTTCGATGGGAGGATTAATTGATTATGATAGGCCACTACAGAAAGGTAATGATTATATCTCACAAGTCATATTAATAAGTTTAAAATGAAACCAGAAACATGAAACTTTATGGGGAAAGGAAACTGGTTTTGTACTCTACTACCACTAAGAGCCATAGATTTTAATAATGCTAACTGAAACCTTAGTCCAGAAGGCTAAAAGGTGGGGGAGAAGGAAGCCGAACCTCTAATCGACCTGGACACATAAAGAATTCTAAATACAGAACTATAAATTTTCCATCTCGAAAGAAATATATTGTACATTTTAAGCATCATACTATGGTAGTTAGATTTGAAGAAAATTACATACCTATTGAGATGGATAAGATAAACAAGACTCTTAGGGCCCGTTGGCCATGCGATATGGAATCATGATATGGAATCAGAATATGAAATCATGAGATGAAGTTGAAGTTTTGTTTGGACATGCGATATGAAATTTTTGTGTTGTATATTTTCTCATAAACATAAGAATCCCATAAGTTGTAAAACTATTAAAATAGCCCCAGTTATTTATTCAATCTTATCAAATAAACAAAAAATAATAAAATCGCATAATAAATTATTACAAAGTTATTTATTCTCCACTTAATTCCAGTTAAGTATTTAATATAATCCTCTCACATAGTATGGACAATCTTCTCATGTTGAGCTTGCATTTCTAGATCATATGATCGAGAAGACGAACCAACATTGTTACTTTGAGCCATTTGTTGGTCAACTCCTTTGGTATTCTCGCAAATAATTATGTAACAATGTAAAAGTTATGACAATTTTCACTTGTGTGTCAATATCATATGGTTCATGCCTTGTTTCACTTGTGTGCAATTACACATTTTCAGTGCATTAGTTTCGTGCTAAAATCAAACATATTGGAAGTAGTGATTATCAAACATACATCACCATTTTTGTCCTTTTTCATATTAAATTGCTTTAAACATTTTCATATGTAGCCGAAACAATAGTTTTTTTATTATGAAAAAACCAAAAAAGTATTACTCCCTCCGTTCTTATTTATATTCACCAAAAATCAATTCCTACTTTATCATTTATATTCACCAAATTTAAAGCAATAACAAATTTTTATGTTGGTGAGAATAATAAATTTTAAAAAGTAATGATGTGATTATTAATTTTATTTACATATGAAATAAATGGTTAGTAGATATAAATGTGGGGTTGTTCTAACAAAATATAAACTTGTGGGTCAACTTTTATATATAAAAAATTCCAAAGCATGATATGGAATTCCCAAATCATGATTTTTGGAGAATATGGTATTCCATCTCATGATATGAAATCATGAAATGGAATCAGCGTGAAATTGCATGTCCAAACGCTGATTCCATCTCACGATTCCATATCGTGATATGGTATCGCATGGCCAAACACCTACTTATAAACTGGAACCTGAGCGCATAGAGAATGAAGAAGACAGCTAAACAAGTCGCACTACCATTGTAGGACATGTGTTATTTTAAAATGCTACTTGTTATTTCTTGGTATTCTCGTGGTTGAGTCGAGGAAAAACGATAAGAAGTGGTGAACTATTTTTCTCAGGTCAAATATCTTTTCTTACTACATCTGCTTCAACTGAGAATCATTTGTGTAACTACTTGTTTGTGCAACAGTTATGTCCTTTGTATCCACACAATCCAGAAGTCTTGCTGAATGAATTGAAATCACCAGCTGAGCTACTGGACTTTGGAGAATTCTCAGATTGCCTGGATTTTGGGAGCAGCTCTGGTTCCCCTCTACTTCATGTTGTTAATCCCGCATTTGATTATGTGCCACCAAATCTTGTTAGTTTGTTTATAACAGACACGTGAGTTCCCCTTACTATTAGTATTTTTGAGAATATATTTCTTCATGTAATGTTACTCCTTGGTGAATGCTAATTGACGATGATGTAACCCGACCTTAAGATGCATGAGATGAATTTATAACTCAATCTACTTAAAAGCAAGAAGAAATATCCATGGGAAATCTGTCTGATCAATATTGACAGTACAAACTAATAAGTGTGAAATATTTTATTTTCTTATATTTTAACATGTTTCCTGTTTGGCAATACGGAATCAGATGATTGTTTGCAATATCGGTTCTCTGATTTGACTACATGATCTTTTATTATATTATTGCTTTCTGTTCCCTTTCTATTTTAAAACTCTGCGCTTATTCTCTTTTGCTGTTTCAGGGGTGGACATAATGCTTCATTCATGTACCGGCTCATAGCTGACTATTATTCTGCTGATGATATTGTGGTGAAACAGAAATCGATCTCTTGAAATAGTATCAAGCTTCAGCTGTTCTATAAATATTAGTGAGGTATCTTTACTTTTTTGGTTAATCTTCTTAGCATCAATGCATTTGTCAGATAAGTTACAGTGTCCAAAAATTTGACTCTGTAGTAGGTCTGTGATGTAGAAACAAGACACGAGTGTGGAATCGTTGCATGGAAGGCATTTTCTTTTTCTTTATTCATTTCTTCCAATTAATTGGACTCACACTTAAAACATCTATTTTTCCTCTTTTATTTGCTCATAGCACTGTGATACTGCAGCCTTGAATTGCCTATGGTTAACCTGTCTTCCACCTGAATGAAATATGCTATTAACCTTGTTCAACGTTCTAGCTAGTATTGCAAAGTAGTTTGAGCGGTAAAAACTGCTGAAATAAGAAAAAGCAAAGAACTTGAACTCCAAGAAAATCTGTGAATATTTAGTAGTTTCAGCTCAAAGAAAGTCTTGTTAGGTATTGCATCCGAACACTTTAGGTTTCAGTATGAACTAATCCTATAGTTGATTGATGTTCAGGTAACTCATTCAGCTGAACCTTAAACAAGCTGCAGGAGTGCTTTCCTGGATTTATTACAAGTACATGATACAACCATATTCTTCTATCAAACGTCTACCCAGATGTTCCTGTAAAGACACCTTGAACAACTGACGTTATAGTCAATAGCACAGGTTCAGTGGTCATTGTCCAAGAGGCTACACTTACATTGTACTGACTGCAATAAACAGATGAAGAGAACTACCAATCTTGGAGTGTAGATTGATTCTGGAGATTAGATTTGTGCTTAAATTTTGTGCTTTGGGATTATATATGACACTTTTTTATGAGCTTGGCGTAGTTTTCCTTTGTGATATTGTCGTGCTATTTGATGACTGAAAAGTTTTGTCCATTGGTTCATTCATTTGGGTTATCAACAATTAAAACGGTGTTGTGATGAGATTTTGTTTCCGTGAGAGAAAGGATGAGATTTGCACTCAGTATGTAGTTTTTTTGTTTGTTTGGTTGGTTGGTTGTTTGAATAGAGGCTTACACACAAGGAGTTTATATCCAAATATTGGGATAGGAATTCGTAGTGGGACGTTCGTTCGTTCCCCAGGGCCTCCTCAAGGTCATCTGATGCCACTTTAAGGCTGTTTATTGACTAGAATAACACAATGTTTAGTGGTGGGGCAAAACACTAGCAAGAAGCTTCCCCTTTTCTGTCTTTGATGTCAAGCCCAATACTTTTTCTGCACTTGTAACACTTTTCTGTCTTTGATGTCGAACCCAATCCCAGTCTTTAATGTCAAGCCTAGCTCCACTAACCCATTGGATTGGATTTCTCCCTCGGGCGGACTCCATATGAGAATAGCTTGTTACTTGTAAAATGCAAGAATAAATCCTTATGAAGGAATTGATAAGCTGATGCTCCATTACTAGGTTCCATCCTCTAACAATCATCGACTTGGAAATGAACGAAGTTTCTTCCCTTTGTAAGTAGAGGATTGTGATAATGGTGGACTAACAAATAAACTCCAAGGCCCCAAGTGCCTAGGTCACAATGGTACAAGGTTCTGCCAATGTGCCTAGGTTGCAATTGTCAAGAGTTGATAAGAAAGAGGCGTCTGAGTAAACAGAAGTAAGATCTAACTTTTCATTGATTTAAACAGTTCTCTCATAGAGAGAAATTGATCATCAAACCAAATTCAATTGAACAACAAAGAAATAAAATGTCGAATCCTTGAAAGATATGATGGTTCATAAAACACCATTATTCATCGGAGAAATTCAAAGAAGGCCTAATTGGCAGATTTGCTAGACAAGTGAACAGAGATACGGGCATTCTGTAATGCATGCACAGTGAATTGCTGAAAGAGCTACAACTGTTATTAAAGAACCAAGAACTTCTGCACATACATTAAAACTGAGTACATAATTTGAACAATATGTTACAACCAACCCTCTCTCAGCCCCTTTCCTCTTTTCAAGATAGGTGACAGAAAGGATACAACAATGGAATGGAACGGCAGATTGACTAACTAATTGGCAATTCAACAGATGCAGATTGTACAGTATTTTTGTCACTGCTTTCTACCTCAAACCAGAAGAAGAGTGATGTACGAGTATAAATGACTCGTACTCGTTGCAATGAAAGTGTCCCACTGGTTAGGACAGCTTTGGCACCTCCTTCAATTCGAGTTTTCAGAACCGAAACACCATTACTACAAGTCTTGAGTGCTGATGGGATGACCTCAGCCGCACCAGCAGTACTGATAATTGCATAGGAGAGATGGTCAAGAGGGTTCGACTCGCACTGAAGAATGCACCCATCAATTGTGAGCTTCCCGCTTCTATGAAGCAAGCAGCAACCAAGCTCTGTCCTCACAGTCAAATTAGCCAGCTTACAAGTGGACATGAACTCCAATGCACTGTTCAGAAACAAAGAACAAACATGCATACAATGGCAAGTGAAAACAGTTCAAAATATCAGAGAGCAAATCCAAATTTGGGTCAACTGTTCGAGTACAAACTTGACAATAGTAGACATCTTTAAAAAAGCATTGCATAGACGGAATTGAAGATCAAGTAATGCAATATTGTTGTTGTTCGTTTAGTATTTGATCAGAATTGCAAAAAGAATCTGATGCTCTAGTTCAAGGCACAACGTCAAGTTGATTAAGGAGAAAAAGAAGTAAAAAGTGATGAAGGTCTCACAAACCTGTCTGAGCTGCGGGAGCAAATAAGGGTTGTATCATCAGGACTCTCACCTGCGCCAATCTGTAAAAAGGAAGTTGAGGCAGCGAAAGGCTAGTGCTATCTTATATAATTTGCATGCATTTACTTTACTCTTGCAAGGTATATGCCTTTATGGCAAGGGAGAAAATTTTCAACTCAAGTGCATCATATCTGAATTCTGAACGGTCTAACGTTGATCCACCATCTCCACCAAAGGAGGACCTAGGATTTAAAGACTGCTGGCACAATTACTTGAAACAGAAACTAAATAGGAGTGTAGATTGGGTCAGTTCGGGCAATTTTGGGTTCACTTGGTTCAAAAATATCAAAAGGGAGCCATGGAGCAATTAAAGTTGTTTACGTGTGGTCTATAGGTCATGGCCATGAAATCAATCATGGATGCTTGTGTAGGGTAGGATCCCTATATTACACCGCCTTGTTGCACAAAAACGAATTGAAAAATACAATAGAAGAATAGAAGGAAAAAAAAGAAGTGAAAGACTAGCAGCTTAAATGACAGTGGATGTTTTTTTTTGAGATAAAGCAGTGGATGTTTCTTTTATATGGGATTCTTCGTCAAAGGAGAAATAGAAATGACAAAGACAAGATCCCAAGAAGAAAGAAATAAGGAATGTTGGCACCCTAAAGAAGAAAACTGAACACTTCCATCAAAGTGGAATTCAAACTCCGTTGTCAAAGATGACGCCCTCATACGGCTTAGTGTCAACCAGTGGTCCCCATAATCATTATTGTGACTGTGGGTGCCATGTTATTTATACATCCAAAATTTTGACAATTTCTACATATAGAAAGATTCTTTGCCGAGCTCACAGGTTCCGGTGCACCTCAACCTCTATAGGTGAGTCCACCTCCGATCACCACCTTTTTTCCCCTACAGTTCTATCCTTCTTTTGGTTCTTTTTAGTAGCAAATGAGGTCATGAAAAAATAGACCAGATGACACAACAGTAGTCCTAATGATCCCCCACCCCCCACCCCCGCTAGATCAAATGGGTTTACAAAACTATTATGTATTCATGTGATCAACGTTTCATCCACAAACTAAATAAGAGCTTTATGAGAGGAAATAGCTACACTGTGACTTCACATAAATATATAGCTTTGAAATAACTATCAGAAATCTCACAAGACTCAGAAACATCAAAAGACCCAACATCTTGTACGCATTAAGTATGTAAAGTAATCTGAGGTTAACATTTTGAAGTTACCAAGCAAAGTGGCTTTTCAATCTGAATATTTGACACATGATGGCTGCCTCCTGCAGCAATCAGTATAGTGTCCCCAGGCCTGAACAGCATCCATATATAAAGCCAGCTTGTAAGACGAAGATCAGAACAGAGAAAATAAAATAAAATAAAAATGCTAACCTTGCAGCAGAGACGGCCATCTCAATGTTCGGATAGACTCCAGGCTGAGATAAATCCTTCACAGCACGGTCTACTCGCAACCAAAGCCGAGGATGGCATGCCAAGAATCGCCATCTGTGGCAAACGAGGGCGGTGTTATACCGATCTGCAACTCAACAGCAAGTTGTGACAGAAAAGAATCACATAGCACTATAAATGTGGTCTATAGTAAAATCTAAAAACAGCTGGTAGGAGCATGGTAGAAAAAATGAAGCACAGTGCAAATCTAAATGAATCCCCCAGCCCAAATAAACAAAAATTAAAAAGTAACAAAACACAAATGGCCACCGACACCCACAAGAAGTTCTAAAACTAAGAATGAGATTGATCTAGTTTCTGCTAATCCAATAAATTAAGACAACTTTAACAGTGGCACTGGTGCTTAAAAACCACTACTCAGTACTCACTGCCTTTTAGGGATATGAGTGCACAAGCTTTTCTATTATTTCCTCCTTTTAAACAAGTAATGATAAGAGCTCTTAAAATTCATTGGCCACAATAAGACTACTTGCACTATTCAAACCTCGAAACAGAAGTAGATGCATATGGTGAACTGTTCAATTATATGCTCCTACACCAACATTAAGCTAACAGATTAAGGTTAACCTTACCTGATCAATTGCCTGAGCTTATAAAGCAACAAGGATATTTCACACAAAGAATATAGAGAATGGAGAAAAAAAGTAAATGAAAGATGAGTATACATTCAGGTTATTGCGGCAGCTGGTGAATAAAAATACAGAAATCTATAGTTATCTTTCTCAAAGAACCAATAGAAAACGAGAAGTTGAGCAACAAACTTACAGGAAAAATCAAGTTGTTCTCTTGTTTAAGTGCTTCAAAGCCTAAAATTCAGCTATTTTGGACGGAAATGGGGGAAAGGCATAAATACCTCCTTAACCTATAGTCGGATTTTCAGTTGCGCACTTTATTTGTGCAGGTTCAACAATTTTAGAATGGAATTAATAACCACCTCAGTTGATCAGCTGTCAACAAGGTTGAATGTACACCCTTAACGGTATGTGAGAAGTGAAATTAGATCCCCAAAACTGCTCTTTGTTGGCCATGTGAAGTCGAATTTTTGGCAGCCATTTTCAATCCTTTGAAGCCTTAACTTTATAACAATGATTTTGAAATTAGTTTTTGATTGAAGAGGTAAATCATTTCGGTGCGAATTGTTGCCTTATTATATAGGTTTTACATTTTTTAAGCAACTAAACTACCAACTAAGCTCAAAATTAACTAGGATAAAGTCCATCAGGTCTCAATGCACAGAAAAATCCAATCTTTGCAACTTTTTATTGAGTTGGGTATTGTAAATCAACTATGATGAGAACAATTAGGGGAATTATCTATTAAGATACTAAATACGAATAGAGCTGAGAGACCCAAAAAAGAAAAACAAAATCGATCTTTTGTTACCTTGAAATGATGGAAATTAAGAACTGGGTTTTGCAAATTTTGAACCAAAGAAACAGTAAATTTAGCTGAAACTTGAAAAGTGTTTCAAAAGCAAAGGAACTGATAGAGAAATTTGTTTAATACCTGGAATTGGGGAGAGAAAACTGAAGATATGCATGAGGCAGCCATCATCAAGTCTGTTGATAAGAGAAAAATCAGTGGAATTCTTAGAGATTCGCCTCCATTTCCGCTTCTGTTCCTCCATTCAATTTGGGTTTTTTTTTCTTCTGAAATCTGAACAAGAAAGGATGATTTTGATGATGAAGAAGACCCGACAATGCTCTTCTTCAGTCTTCATCCATTGTTGGGCTTGAAATTGGACTTGAATAGCATCAAATCAAAGCCCAATCAAGGGTATCATAGTCTTTTTGGATAGCTATTTATTTTTGTTTGAAGAATTTAACTTAAATAGTGGTCCACCTAAAAGATTATGGGAAAATTACGCAAAATGACAAACATCTAGAGTATAATATGTAAATTTTTAATTCGTGGCTACATTTTCACGAATTTTTGCTATTTGATTTCCTAATTGTATAAATTCAGGATTTGTATAAATTGGTCTCTGATTATATAAATCCAAAATTTATATAATTCAGTTCCTAATTGTATGAATACAGAATTTGTATACGCTCACCCTACCTATATTTGTATAGGATTTATGAAAATTCATAATAAATTATCCCGTTTGTATATTGGCAAGCAAAATATGCAAATGGAGTTCTGGAAAATTTCTAAATGTATAAATACATAATTTGTATATTTGCAAGAGAAATATACAAACCGCAACCTCCATCTGTATATGCTTACCCTGTTTGTATATTTACAAGCGAATATACAAATCGACAACCGAAATATACAATATGCAGCCTTCATAGCAAACAGAACTATAGCTATAGAGCGCAATTACTAAAATTATAGTTATAGAGCCTTATTATGTCAATTATCTTTGTTATTTCAAAAAAATTCTCAAAGATTATACCATGGATGTATAATATATGTATAAATTCACATATAATATGTGTTTGATCGTCTATAATCTATGTATACATGCTAGGAAAGTAAATGGTAAATTTATCCGATTATTCGTACAAGGTTTGCGTGGAGGGAATAATATAAGACCAAAAGTCTCAAGGATGTTTTGTAGAGCCCATTGTCCTTACGTCCACTCCCAAGGATCCCCGTTCTCGGGTCCTGAAAAAGACACCGATTAGAGACGATTGTTAAGGAGTGAAAGCCACTTGACGGTAAGGAGAGAAACTCACAGACAAGAGATTAAAAAATGAAACATATAAAAGAGAATCCAAGGATAAGGGCGTGATGGTTTTCTTTCACAGTACCACTCCCAACAATGAAAGTTTTAGCTTACCCAATTAAAAATCCCTAAATTCTTATAAACACTTCCAAATAATTAACCAACTAATAATACGTCTCATTTTATACAAATTTAAGACAACTGTTCTATTCCTTAATATTGATCTTGGTAAAATTTATCTTTACCAATTTGTCCTTTTCCTTCAATTGATTTGTCTCTCTTTTTCAAACTCAGCCACTAACGTAATTAAATTGAAAAAAGTAATTAAACTTTGCTTTGTTGCCTAAAATTCAAATCACTTAAGTTGTAGGTTTTTTTGAACATTTTGATTGTTGTTGTTTGAAATTGAGTGATGCATTCCACTACTGATTTGAGAGTTGAATCGTGAGATATTCAAAGTTTCAAACATGAGTTTTTGAATATGAGTTTTTGGAATTGTTTCCGGTTAAGTGTTGTTTCAAAAGTTTGGGTAAATACTAAGAATGTTACGTACAAATTTGGGGTGATTTGGTGTAGATTAGAGGTAGTTTTGGGCAAATATCCAATGGCAACATGCGATTTATCTATATATATTTATGTATCCTTATTGTATAACAGTATGTCATGTGTATATCTTGCATATGCATATGTATATTAAGTGAATTAGTATTATATATACATGATACAAGTGATACACATATGATATACACGTGTCAACATGTTATTTTAGATATAGATGTTTTCTCCAAATTGATGTTCAATATCTATAAATTTAGAAATTATTGAGGGCGAACAAGAGAATAGCTTATTTTGATATTTATGTTGGCTATTTTTTTACTATACTTAGGTTATTGACAAAACTTCAAAGTTTGTGATTCACAATAATATTGTTTCATTTTGACATTGATAATCTTGTTTGATTAGACTATGTTCAAAGTTATGTTCTATTACTATGTGTTTGTGATCACTATCTGTTTAGGCTAAAAATAATTTTATAAATAAGAAAATTCTTTCAAGTTTTTTAAATAAACTCAAGATTAAGTTAATGTTGTCCAAGTGATAGTTTGTTAATTGTATTTTAAAATTAAACATTGACCAACATTTAATTATTTGGTTTTATAAAATAGGCTAAATAAATATAGTTCGTATAAATATGATTTGGCCCTCTAATTTGTTAGATTACTTGTTAGACATGAATTACTTATATATTGGTATGGACTGACAATAGTGTAGGTTATATTGGATACCTAATAAAATCAATTACGAGGAAGCGTATTAGGTTAAGACATCATGTCTATAAATAGAGAAATTTATCAAAACAACAAACATTTAGTATTAAATAGGACTCCATAGTTATAATTTGCTTAATTATAGATAATAACAACATGTTTAGGGCTCTATACAACTTATCTCCTCCATGGTTTAAGATGATACGTTTACCTCCCTTATTTTGATTTTTTTGTAACTATTGTTTAAATCTATATAAAATAAATATAAATTAATTACGATTTGAAAATTTTACCCTTCTTTATATTAATTTCTTCATATTAGCATACACTATAAAAAATAATTTATTTAATTAATAAATTAAAAATAAACTAGGACTCCTTTATTTAGAGAATAATTTGTGTAAATAAGTACTCCTTTATTTTGAGAAGTACCTTATTCCCAAGAAATTGTTATAACATGAATCTATTTGATAGTTCACATTAGTGACGGCTCAAGCTAATTAATGGCCTAATATCAAAATTAAATCGGATTCGAACTTTTAATTTTTATATATGAGATTCAAAGTTATTTCTTTCTTTTTAATAATAAAACTTTATTTTTTCTATGATTTTAAACTCTATATCTATATATATATATATATACACACACACATTGTTTAATCTTGTGGTCTTAAACCTATTGTGGAAGTTTAAATTTAAAAATTGATCCCAAAAAGAAACATTTTTTAATGTTTCCAAACAAACTAAAAAAAGACAAATAAATTAAAAAATATAGTATATTTTTTTTGTTAAAAAAAGCTTATAATAAATTTATTAATACTTTAAAAAAAATAGGGCCCAAGGCCTATGCCTAATTTTTAAAGGCATTGAGCTGCCTCTGATTCAAACTCATCTCATAGGAGAAGGTTTTTTTATGTTGTAACATGAGCCTTCTTACCACATACCATTTAACGACATCCATCATTTCATTCAAATATTGTCCTTTTAGTTTAATCCTCAATTTTTTTCCCCTTTGGGAAATATTGTCCAATTTTTTATATACCGTTTAAAAACATCCATCCTTCCATCCAAATATTTCCCTTTTAATTTAATCCTCAATTTTTATTGGTCTTTTGGAAATTTTACTCAATTTTTTTTATTCTTTTAGCTCCGGACTCCTAATAAAGCTGTTCATTTTAGACCCCAAAATTTTGAATCTCAAGTTTTTTTTTGTTTTTTTTAATAGTTTAATTTATGTATTTATTTTCACTTAGACAATATTGAAATTTATAGAAAAGAAAAAAGTTCAAATTTTTTTTAAAAGGAAAAAGGGTCCACCTACTTTTAATATTAGAAGTGTTTTAGAATTTTAAAATTAACTGCTACAATGTTCATATTAATAAATATTTTTTTATATAATAATATCCCAGATAACATATTAAAAAGATATCACTAAACATCATATAAACTTAAATTAGTACTTACCTATATAAGTAAAGAAATTGATATTATTATATTAAATATTAAATAATATGTGCGAAAAAAAAATGCTTCATTAAGAAAAGTATGTACACCATATTTGAAAAGTGTAACATTAGTTTATGCAATATACTTGAGTTTATTATAAATATAATTTATGGAAAGTTTATTCATATTAAAAAAAATAAAAAAAATATATATAATGGTAAAAGTTAGTTGAGACTTCTTTATTTTAAAAAGTAAATAATGAATGTCAAGACAATTTTCATATGTCGGTTTTTTTTTGTTTGTTTTTCTATCCGGTATTCAAAATTCATACAGGAGCTGACTAAATTCGGATCGACCAATACATAGCCCTCGTTTGAAAATAGTGCTTTCAACATGATTTTTTTCATACCAAGGCTCCAACATCGATTCTTTTTCCCTAATGTTTTGATAGTGCTTGTTTTGATGATATTTCACAGTTATTGGTTTAATTAAGAGAAAATTAATTCATGATAGAGTTCAAAACTGTTTTAACATCTTATTAATACTTTACTTGGCAAATGTTTAGGTTATGACTTAAGAATATTTCATATTTCATATTTTTTCACTATTACAACAACAATAAGTCAATAACTATCCAATTTAGCCTACAAGTATTATAATCCTACCTTGTCAATAGAAAGTTTAGCCCTACAAGTATTATCTGGAGAACAATAGAAATTGTTTGGGAAAGATTTTTCGGCACATAAGTAATAGTACGATAATAAGAAAATAGAGACATAAGACAACCGGTAATAGAAAATTAAGAGTGAGAAATACCAAATGGTTATTTTATAACAAAAAATCAAGTAGGTAAAGCAAATATAGTCGAAGACTCATGTGATATATCATTCCAAATACTTAAGTTGCGACTCTTCACTTTCTTTGCCGTATCTATGTCAGATTCTCCAAAAATATATACTATTTTTTGTATTTTTGGAGAATCTAACACGTACCCATTGACATTTTTAAAGAGCAGGAGCAACATAACCAAAAACATGAACAAATAAAAATACCTTCAAACATGTAACTTAGCTTCAATCTTGAAGTTTAACCAATGCAAAACACAAATCAACACCCTTTCTAAATGCCCACAATTGCACCTTAGTATCACATTCCAATTTATTCCTTCTTACAACTTCATTCCAGTATGTCACCAACACATAGCTCAAACTTACTTTCCCATTATCTTTGTTCATAAACCATTTTCTCAGATTAATTTCACTTATTCGACGTGAAGGCTCAATCAACATTACCTTCATCTCACACATTTTCCCCTCATTACGCGTGTTTAAATGCGCGTCTTCTTCTGGTTCAAGAAAGCTATTACTCATCTGTTTTTGCGGAATTGAAAACCTCCCTTCTTCTGGTTTAACATCAGTCTTGAATAGTGTTTTTTCGATAACCAATTTAACTGATTCAAGTGAACCCCCATTGCATATAATCAGATTCTTGAATTCAATATCCAATTCTCTGTTCATTATTGAGCTTCCTCTGTTTTCGAGGATCACTCTGTTTTCCACAGCTTTCTTGATTATTGATTTTTCGCAGCCATTATTATTGCAGATGAATTTTTCAGTAACTTTTCTTGGCCGTGTTTTTGACATTGATCGTTTCCTCCTTGAGAAGACGAAATCAAGAATTGATTTTTCTTCTTGATGATGATGTTGTTGATTCATTAACATGGATTTTAACAAGAACACTTCACATACAGCAAGCAAATAGTCCATTCGAGTCATGCTAGACGTACACTCCATGCTCGAAAAATCGTCTACACTCAGCATTGTGTAAACCATTGCAAAAGATGAGATGAATTGAAAAAAGTTTTTTTTTTATATACAATAAGGAGTTTTTCTAAACCCCCAATTCTGGTAAGAGAAGACTACACAAAGTAGTGAAGAAGAAGGAGTCTTAAGAATGAGGAGAGAGAAACCTGATTCCGACGAGTTTTATGAGAGAGAAACCTGATTCTAACGAGTTTTATATATATGAAGTTAAGTTATGGTGATATTATTTCTGACGAAAGGTTTGGTTTATTGAATTTAAAATAATATAGATCGCATAATTTCTACGAATAAATTGTTTTACAAAAATATTTTCCATAAATGTAAAATTTGTAAAAACTGATGTAATAAAAGGATTTGAGGGAGTATTTTTGCCAAATTAACATTTTTAAGGTATATTAAAAATTTATTTCAAAATTATCTCCATTTATACATCACACCAACCAAATAGTATTTAAATTTTCAAATTTTAGGAAGGGAAAAGGCTCACTATGTCCTCCGTTGGCTCATCTATGCAATTTTTGTTTGAGAAAAAGTTTATCCATGCCATTAGTGTTAACTAAAAGTCTAAAATAACATAGATGAGCCTTTTTTTCAAAGTTTAATGACATATTTGAGCATTTTACTTTTAAAAAATAATTTAATTAATGACGTGGCCTAATCATAATTAGCCACATATAAAAAATGTTTTGCAAAACCAAAATTATTTTCAGTTAACAAATAGTAGCATAAATGAGTCTTTTCTCAAACGGAACTGGGTAGACTTAAAATTAAATGAATGGAAGTGGTCTCAAAAAGGCACGTAATTGCTTGGAATTAATGCATATGTAGCTAATGATATGATATCGTGGGGAAAAAAAAGATACATAATAATGTAATATGAGCTTAAATAATGAAATGACAAATTCATATTTAATGTAATTATGTAAAGCACATTAAACATAACAATTGAAAGAAATACAGGTTAGAGAAACGTAGTACAGAAATGAAACCATGTGCCAATAGTGAAAATTTGTAAAAATACAAAGCTCTAAATGAGGTACTTGTTTCAAGTATAACCAAGTAAATCATCGATCAAAACCTCATGCTACGAAATCGCATATCCAGAACGCTGATTTCAAATGTTCAAACGCTCGGGATAATCTGAACTACTCGGAATCAAAACATATTTAAGAGCTTGGAATGACGGTCAAGTTCCTTCCTTGCATCGGGTTGAAACTTTCCTCAATCATAAATTTCCTACTCAATAAGTATCACGTCGAGGATCACCAGTAACCTACAGATTGGTGTTTCTGGAATGCAGCATATCAAGGTGCAAGCTTGAACCTTCAAGCTTTAATTTCACAGTAAGGACAATAATCTTTTATAGTTTACATACAGGACCACCATTTCCTTGATCGAACAATGTGATGATAAGCTGATTGGAATGTGGTACCAAATTGGTGAATCATTGAAATGTATGACAAGTCCAGAGGAGCTAGAGCTTCATAAGGCTTAATTACTTGTGAGGAAAACTATTCAAGACGAATAAAGTTGAAGGACGATCAAGAAAAAGTTGTGATTACTTAACTTTAGATGTTGAACAATTGGTAAAGCTCCTCATCTTCGAGAGAAAGATCTCCTCAAGGTCCAATACGTCTATGAAACCACCTTTCTTCAGGCTTTTTGAATTACTCTTAGTTTAGCACTCCGGCTTCGAGGATTCAGTGTTTCCTCCTTTTCAGATGGTGTTATGGGTCTTTTTGTAAGGATAGTTCCATTTTGTCCTTGTATCACCTGTTTAATCCATGCTTCCTCTTTAACAGTATCCAGATTAATTTTCCTCAGCTCACGTAAGCGCTTCACTTCTTCATCTTCAACCCCACCTCCATCAACTTCACTGCAGTTCATAATATTGAGAAATGCCTGCTTTACTATTCTGTCCTCCAAACTGTGGAATGAAATTACGGCAAGCCTACCACCAGAACTGAGAGACTCAAAACAAGCACAGATGGAATCCTCCAAAGTCTTGAGTTCATCATTAACAGCTATCCGCAAAGCCTGAAAAACTCTTGTCGCGGTCTTAATCCAACCTTGCCTTCCTGCTTAAGCAAGTATCCAAAGTATAATCACATTTCTCATTTCCACAGACAAGAATGTGCAGAAGATTATTAAGTATGAAGAAGTACCTACTACACCAATTCCCGCTAGTAATGGTTAAGAAATTTATAAAATTTTAGACAAATTTAAAATATGAATAACGACAAAGCCACCTAGAACTGAAAATCACCTTTCGTCCTAGAAGTTGAATTCTGAATAAGGTCTACCAGCTCATTGGTAGAATGTAACCCTCCATGTAGACGAGCCTTAACAATTCTGTTTTGAAGAGAGTACCAATTGCTTTCTTCTCCATATTCTCGCAGAACTCGCCCTACTTCATCAGCTGGCCAAGAATTCAATATGTCTTCAGCTTTTAGAGTTGCCTGTCACAGTCCTGTGTCAGTTAATCAAGGAAACCTCTATGAACATTTTCTCCACATCTATGAAAGATATATAAGAAAATATAGAATGAGAAGTGTTTACTGAATCAGATGTCTGGACATTAGACAAATAGTGACATCAACATCGAAAACTTAATAGGATGCGATCGTGATAACTGATAATTGCTATAAAGCTTCCTTATAAATAGTTAGTGTGTGTAGTGACTAGTTGTATTCAAACATATCCCTACATTTAGAAAATAAGTCTTAAAATGTCATCTTCGAATCCATTTTTCTGGAAAAGAGGTCCGATTACATATCAGCCAGGTGACATTTTTTAATCGATGGGAAAAATATGGTTATTGGAATGCGAATTTGAGTACTCACTCAATCCGGCAGATCCCTATATCGACGAATACACCCGTTTCATGAGGAGAGAATGGAACTACCGTGTTGCAAAAGCACATAATTTGGAGATAGACGCATATGTCGTCCAAAACGCCATGCAATTCAAATGTTATAAATCTCGTGAAGATGACAACCAAGTCGTGGGAAGTTGCACGACTTAAATAATGAAAGGGAATAAATTTCCTTGTCTTGTCATGTCAATGTGAAATGAACAGATGTGCAGATTTTTTCTTCTTATAAAGTGTGGTGCCGTACATGCCTTGTATCAAAATGAATTGATGCAAGGCGTGTAGGCATTCACACATTCACGCCTTATAAGAAGAAAAAAAATCAGTGCCAGCTAAGGCGTGAAGCTTGTACCACCTTACAAGGTGTGATGCCCTTCACACCTTAGCAATGACAAAATGGCCCCGTTAACGTTTATAGTAAGGCGTGGGGCAGTACTCGCCTTTGCCTTTTTGGTTCGTTTGTATTTTTAGTTACCCCTTTGGAATTTTGAAGAAAAAAAAGAGTTGTCCTTTAGGCTCCGGACTCCCTTTTAATCCTTTCCACAAATTATTTTTGTGAAAAAGAATTATTTCATTCACCCCATTCATTTTATAATTCAGTTCCAGAAAACCAGTAATCTCCCATTAATCATTAGCTGACAATTTTACCATTGAGTACTCCCCACTTCCTGTTGTTCAGTACAGTATATCTGCTACTAAAATGATATCCAAGCTACCTTTCTTTGTTGAACTGCTTTTAAAGTTGTCTAAAGACTTAGAACCCACCTTTATGATTATTACCCACAAGTTTCACAAATGTGCAACGCATCATATAATTGTCAACCAATAACAAATTAGAAGGATGGATGACATATACAAAAAAAGATGACTTTTTTAAAGTATATTTGATGTAGAAATTGACCACCCATTAAACCAGAGGAATACAATCCCAAAATCAGCATAGTACAAACTAGTAACCATGAATCTCATAGAATTTTAGCATTAAAGCAAAGGAATAAAATCACAAAATCAACATAATTTTCCAAAGGGTGGATACTGGAACTCTTAGAAACATAAGCCAATGTGCAATGCAGCATAAGATACTAGTAGCATTTGAGAGCTAGACAAATCAGAATGACTGTCGAAATTTACACACGATCTGGAAAGAAATTACCTTTGGATTCATTCTCATGTCAAGAGGTCCATTCTTCAGCACGCTAAAACCTCTTCCAGCATCATTTACCTGAATAAAATATGGAAAAAATTCAAGACATTAATATTATTCTCAGAAATCTGTATCCTGATAGTCTCTAAATATTTCTCCAATAGATGGTTAACAGGAAGAAATACATTTCTCTGACCCCAGCGTGAGAGTAGAAGTCAGTTATCAAATGCATCAATTTTAGCCAGGGGGAAATAGTCTTTTACGGTTTTAAAGAAATCAGTGTGACACTGTGACTAGCTTTTCTTCTCATAAACAGCCAACTCACACAGTAGACACACGGGAAAAGAAAGAAAGGTAAGGCGGCGGAAACCAGATTATCGAGCAAACAACTTGAAGTTTTACAGTAGTTTGATGAGATTCGAGTACAGACCTGCATAGATGACATACCCAAGTCCATCAAGATCCCATTAACTCCACCAATCAATAAGTCATCTGCAACTTCACCAAGCACAGACTTGACGTCCTTAAAATTTTTCAAAAAGGTATGCACTTTCAAGGCGGAAGCCGTATCAAAAGAGTCCCTATCTATAATACTCTTCAGCTGAGATTGAGCCTTTTGATGCGCAATGGGATCAACATCAAGCCCAACATATACTTGCATTTCGGGATGAGCTCGAATTATCTGTATGTACAAGCATATAACTTTTAAAATTTTCAACATGGAAGACAAATGATCCCATATCACTACCTCAAAAAAAATTATGCAAGTAACTTAATGCAACTAAGTATACATTAGACAACAAATTCATTACAAAGTGATATTTCATGAAAGAACATGAACTTAACTAGGCATAACATGATACGACTTAATTCTTTTACTATTCCAATAAAAAGCTTAATATTTAGAAAACTTAAAACATTAACAACTTTCTAGATTTTTTTCTCGTTTAAAAATGACAAGATAATACATTTATCAGAAAAGGAGGCAAAAACAAAAACAACACACCCAGTGTAATCTCTCAAAGTGGGGTCTGGGGAAGGTAGTGTGCATGCAAACCTTACCCTACCTCAGAAGTATATAGGTATAGGTTGTTTCCGATAGACCATCAGCTCAAAGAAGTAACGGATGTGAAACCATAACAATCAGTTGCTACAACAAAATAATATGATAATTGTAATACAAGAAGCAATGGATACCAACAAAAAACTAAGTACAAGAGACTACAAGAGTAAATATTTCGACTAATTGTGTCGAAGGATTAGCTAGACAATGTTCTACTACCTGCTAACATACTATCCTAATCCGTATCCTCCTCAATTTACCATCTAAGGCCATGAACTCGATAAGTGTTAATCGAAGTACAACAAACAATGGATACTAACAAAAAAAAGTACAATAAACTACAAGAGTAAATATTTCGACCAATAGTATGGAAGAATTAGCTAGACAATGTTCTACTACCTGCTAACATATGACTCTAATCCGTGTCCTCTTCAATTTACCATCTAAGGCCATGAACTCAGTAAGTTGAAACAACTTTTATGTCTCGTCTAATCACATATCCATATACTTCAAAAAGGACAATAATTGTAGAAGGAAGGAGGTACAACTGTAAAAGCAAGGGAAACACTAACCGCAGAGGAATGGCCGGCGGCACCGAGAGTACAATCAAGGAAAGAGCGGAGAGTAACGGAGGTGAATACATCCAAAACTTCACCGAGCAAGACAGGGACATGGGCAGAATTGTCATTTCCATAGTTCTTCAGGAACGCCTCCTCATCCAGCTCTTTCTCCGACCGAGTCCGTCGCTTCACTTGTGAAAGCTTGCTTTGGTTAATTACACTAATATTGCTGCTCTTCTCCAAGTTTTTGCCTTTGTTTTTGCGAGCTTTACTGCGAATTGAAGCAGAAGTGGAGAAACTAAAGCTGCCGGGAAGACGGAGGTCGTGGAATTTGAGCGGTGTCGGAACGGCGGATGAGCGTAAGAGAAGATTCCGAACAACCCTCGCCATTGTGGAACAGGATAATTCTTTTAACTAAAATTAATAGTACTCCATTTAACTAGATTTCAAAGGGATCAATTGATTTTTACTTATTATTGAATTTCGAGATTCAAAGAAACTTTTTTATCACGATTTTTTGTTACATTTTAAATTTCATGCTCATATTTATAATTAAACAATAAATTATTAACTTTCAAAAAAATATTATGATGTTACATAAATTGGAAAATAGAGGGAGTACAATATCTTTTATTTTATTTTATTATGTCCAATGATCTTTCGAGAAAATTATCAACAAAAAAAAAACAATTTTTGAAGTTTGAATCTCAAGTTAGGAATCACTATTTCCTTTAGCAAAAGCTTTGATAATGAGTTTACTCTATCTTTTATTTTCATTTAATAAATAATGACAAAACTCGAATCCTAAATATTTGATTATTCTACTCTGATGAATTGCATGAACAATCTCATCTAAAAAGCTCCCTCCTTGTCCTCAACTTAATTATGTTCAACGTGATTTAAGGTATAGAAGTAAGGAGAACTGATGATAATTATCAGCCAAAGCTCCTGCTAGAATTGTGGGATTACCATTTTTTTATAGTAAATATATTTAAGGGAAAATTGTATATAATAACAAACTATTAATTTAAATTAAATGCTATAAATATAGTTTGATTTAATTGTACCCATAGCAAACTATTGCTATTAAACCTCTCTCCTGGTGAATCTCGCTCGCCACCTCGTTCTCTCCCTCGCCTCTCTCGTTTTTTATACAAACGCAAGTGTATAAAGTGCGTTTGTGTTTGTATAAAGAGAGAAAAAATTGTATATATACATATATTTTCGTTCCCCTCTCTCCCCTCTTTCAGATCTCGCTCTCTCACTTGTCTCTCTCACTTTATACAAAAACCGCAAATTGTATAAAATGCGTTTGTGTTTATATAAAGTGAGAGAAAATTGTATATATACATATATTTTCGTTCCTCTCTCTCCCCTCTCCTAGATCTCGCTCGCCACTCTCCCAGATCTCACTCTCTCACTTCCCTCGCTCACTTTATACAAAAACGCAAATGTATAAAATGCGTGAAAATTGTATATATACATATATTTTCGTTCTCCTCTCTCCCCTCTCCCAGATCTCACTCGCCACTCTCCCAGATCTCGCTCGCTCACTCGTCTCTCTCACTTTATACAATTGATCTTTTTGTATATGTATACCAAAGCAGATTATACAACTGCTTTCTTTTGTATATGTATAACGAAATATACATATTTATGTTTGCTATGGAGCGCAATTATGCAAAGTTTGCTATGGCATACAAATATGAATTTTGTGTTTGCTATATGTGAAAATTGCTCTTTTTAAAACTAAATAGGTTGGGCGTTAAAATTTTGGTATTTGAAAAAAAATGCTGATATTTGAAATTAAGTTGTAATAAAGTATTTGAAACTTAGTATTGTATTTAGATAAAGTATTTAACTTGAAATCAATGGCAGATTCTGTTTCATTTTCTCTCTCAACATAAATAAATAGTACATCCTTCCAACATTAGAAACTATACTCGTCACAATCCACTAGAATTTTACAAAAGCTGGCCTCCTTGGTGCATGATAGCTACGTAATATCCTTAGTTTCATCCCTTTTTAAGATACCAACGACCAAAATATGGAACTACTTGTTCTATAACGCAAGTTGGCATCCCACACGCTGTGTTAATCACTGTTTCAATGTATGCCCACGTTCAATGGCGCTTCTTACCAGGACCACCACCTTTGTTCTTCTTGCCCTTGTTCTTTTTACCGCCTTTTTTCTTCTTCTTCCCTTTACCCGAAGAAAAAGACTTCTTCCCATCATCAAATGATGCTTTAGGTGCAGAAGGTTTTAGTAACTGTTTAACATCAAGCACACCGTTTCTGAAGTTACCTTCAGTTGATTTCAGCACCCTATCCTCTGGTCTGCGCCTTCCTGCTGCTTTTCTTGAACTACTAGCTCCCCCGAATCGTCCAAGTACCAAATTCTGCAAAAACCAAATAAGTTAGCAACTTATGTTAAGTGGAATTTTCAGTAAGCAACTCCAAAGAAAGCTGAGTTTTCAACCTCTTCTTGCATTTTCTCCTCCCTTTCCTTCTGTTTCTTCATCATTACTCGTGCTACACTAAGTGGTAATCTCTGTTTCTTCTGAGGCTGCCACAATTAACAGAAACATTATCAACAGATGCACAAAATATTTTAGTATTTGTCAAAAAAATTGCAGAACATACTACAACAGCCAACGTTATTATTCATAAATTAAAGGTTGTGCCTCACCTTCCCACCAAGCGCAACTACTTTCCTGTTCTCCAGCTCCTTTTTTTCCTTCCATGTCATATGCGCGGAGCCTGAAAATAGGACAGAGAACCTAGTCAGTGCCATATTCTACATAAGCTCCTCCCATCAGCACACTGTTAAACCTGGATAGGACTAGCATAAAAGTCAAAACAGAATAATTAGGGGGAAAATCAAACAGCCAAGTTTCGATTTTAGCTATGCTAAGAAAGCTCTTTGATAGGAAAAACTGCTATACGAGACTTGTCAAGTACACCTAGTGCAACCGGAAATCTAAATGCGATGAACCTGTTGAAGTTAATTAGGATAAGGTGGCTAAGACAGACACCTGGATAGGGAAGCTGCCAAAGTCACAAGAAAAAGAAAATGTGTAGCGGAAAGTAATTTTGATTGATATGCACTTGAATGCCTTCGGGATGATATAAAAGGAAGAGTGACACAAAAATGAAAGTTACCAACTTCAATACTGTGTGCACTGGAACCTTTTCCTAAATAAGTTGCACGGGCTACCTTTTTCATGCAAGACTGTGGATATCATTCTTCACAACGAAAAATGCGTATAATTTCAGTTGCTTTGTCTTTGAAGGAAAAATTTTATACTATTAGTTGTTGTGTACGAGATGTTTATTATGCATTACTTTCATTGTGTGATCAAAGGCATACCGCACATGTTAAGAAAGACATACCGTAAGGGGGTTGTTTGGTAGCTAGTAAAGAGGTAACTTATCCATGTACTGATTTCTGTATAAGTTATAAATACTTGGGAGGTAAATTATTCATGTATAAAATTAATACGATGTTTAGTTTGCAACTTAGAAACCCGCATAACTAATACATCCCAGCCAAAGCAAGCTACTTCAATTTTAAAGCCTTTAATCCATCCCAAACTTTCAGCTCTTTTGAATATCAAGCTTAATATTTCCATAACAATGATAACCGAATATGGAGAAAGAGGATCTCCCTGCCTATGGCCCCTTTGGGAATTGAAGAAGTCTTTTGGACTGACATTGATTAGAATGAAAAACCTAGCAGTAGAAATACAGGTATTGATCCACCTTATCCATTTCCTTCCAAAATTCATCAACTGTAGCACATTCAAAAGACAAGACCAATTAACATGGTCATAAGCCCTTTCCAAATCCATCTTACAAACCACCCCTCTTTTTTTCTTTTTTTTAAGTGGTGATAACAATTTCTCTACGATTACGAAAGAACCCCAATATGAAATCAAGAAAGATGGTATAAAAATCAGTAGATAGCTGAGAACCATTATCTTTCTCTGATAAAGAACTGAGAACCACTATCTTGTCATCTATTGGCCACTTATGATAGGAGCAGCCATCGCCTGCTTCTACCTCACCTTTATAAACATGAGCCTACATCATAATGACCTACCACCACCCAACATCAAGTGCATGGATGCCTAACCCAGTCACCAACAGGCAAACAAAATAGCTGGTCAGCCTAATTAATGTGCCAACTTTCACTTTACCTGTTGAAAAATCTCTTTCACTTTACAGTTTCAGGTAGACAGTTTTGGTGCCCTGAGATCCCAGCTTCATGGGATCATCAACCAAAGAGTCCATTGTTGGCTACACTTAGGCAAGGACAACTGACTCACATAAATCAGGGTTGAGTATCTATTTTGGCCTATTTCTTGTAATGATTGATCAATATTGACTGATGGCCCATATAGTTTTTGATTCCCTAACTGGTTAGCACCAGTATTTTCCTTTTATGCTTTTGTCATGCATTCAATTCTCCACTTCCAAATGAACATGATTTGGGATGAAGAAAATGGTCTTCAGCACTACCTCTACAAGAAAAAGTGGACGACACTCTATCCACGATAAAGTAGCTACCATTATCTAGGGTAAAGGAATGTAAAGTTCCCTTCATATGGCTTACCAGATTAAGTAAAGGCATTTCTCTTCTTTCTTTTTTTTAAATGGTAACAGTTAGTAAAAGCATTTAATCACCGAGCGCTGCTTCAGTCCTAGAGATGGATTTTGAGATGTTTGTACTAATTAAACTCATTCATGTCAACATTTAAGGATATTGTTGTTATGGAGAAAAGGAAAAGCTATGAACCAGTCTTGTCCTCAGCTTAAATCCCGAATTGAAGTGTTCCTCTGCACTAAAATCCTCCTCAAGTTTGCTAGCCATTCACTAGTTTCAGATTTCAAGCACATTTCAGAAATCTTGACTTTCGCAAACACTTTCTACCATTCAGTTCCTCCACAATATCATGCCCAGTGTATCACAAAGACTTGTAAACTGAACCACATTAGAGTAACAATTCATGCAGGACATTGTCATACATGCATAAAACTTAGTTGAATCTAAAGTTTCAATATGAACAAGAGCGTATAGTGAACCAATCAAATGCTTTAATTGAACAATCACAGAAATTTTGTTAGCCAGTTTACAACTTCATAGTATCAATAGGATGTCACTTCACTAATCAAAAGAGAAGGATATCCTCTTATACGTTTCCGACTATGCCTGTCCTCGAAGTTTGAAATTAGTGAAATAAGCTAATGCACAAAATTTGGAAAGTCTCTATCAGTAAGTTAATTGAAAACAAAAAGCAATCCATTGTCAAAGAGGTAACTTTTTTCTCGAGATGTTTGTTCTGCTTTTTGTTCTAGAGATGTAGTGAGAGTACAACCCACCACTATCATGAAGGTCTCAAATTCTTGAACATAATTATATATGAATCACGA